CCTCCACCGGCCAGTTGCCCCCCCCCCCCAACCCGCAAAAAAAAAAAAAAAAAAAAAGAAAGAAAGAGATAATATGCATATATGCATCTTCCCATGAACTTTTTGAAGTACCCTCATATACTGACAGCATTTCTTTTCACAAAGAATCCTAGGGCATGAAGTCTTTTAAATTATAACCAAAGACCTTCACTTTTGAAAATGCCAAAATGATAAATGCTCGGAGGTACAAAGGCCACGGTCACTTTTATGTTTCTCTTATATAAACAGGGCTTTGAAAAATGGACCAGCTGCATACTTTGTGGGGCCCTGCACAAAATGCAAATGAGGAGCCAGCTGTATAATACTAAATAAAAAATAAATAATAAATAAAAAAGGTATTAAGAATTTCAAGACAGGACATCAGAGCACTAAACCAAGTGAGGGGTCCTTCTGAGTGGGGTACCTACCTACTGACCATGAGCCACCCTGCTTGCAGGAGCCACCTTCGCTATCACCATCAGAGCTGATACAGATGGACAGTGGGCCGGACTGACGCAGCAGGCACATGCACTCACCACTGTCACTGCATCATCCAGCAGGGACCCTCCGAAGACCAGGATGTACAGCGGCTCATTGACATGAATGTTCTCGAAGACCGCCAGCACAGCCACGGGGATCCATAGCAGAGATTAAGCTGCCGAAGAGCAGATTCTGGAGCAAGTGATGTCACTGATACCAAATGCTTCGATCTGGCAGATACCAAACAAAGACACCTCAATGCCAATGGAATTCCTAAATGTCCCCTACCACAGCACACCAGAAAATAGTGCCAATGGTCTCAAAGAACGGGCAAGTGGGCATGAAATAGCCGGCATCAAGCACAATGGGCGGCAGGAGATACAGGAAAAACACATCAGTCTTCATGGTAGGGGGCGACTTTTCATTGACACCAAAAATTATCCCTCCTAGTAGAAGTCCAACCATTATAAGAAGGCAGCTCTCAGGCACTATTGTGGGCAACTTGGGATAGAGATGGAAGCTTGTTAAGAAAAGAATAAAAACACAAAATGTGGGTTATGATGCTGGAATTACGGTGAGGGGGAACTGGTTCTCTGACAGCACCACTGGGTCCTATTTCAAATTCTCCCAGGTCACTACAATTGGTTACACAATGTGGATCAGATGATGCGCCTAGAACTATTCACAAAGTACATGTAGGCACAAATTTAACTTTAAACCAGAATTAGAATGCTATAGGTACACACTATCTGTATATAGTAGCAGGCTTATTTTTCTAAACCCCTATTAATTTTGTCTTAAATACCAGGACTANTGTAGGCACAAATTTAACTTTAAACCAGAATTAGAATGCTATAGGTACACACTATCTGTATAGTAGCAGGCTTATTTTTCTAAACCCCTATTAATTTTGTCTTAAATACCAGGACTGTGGAAATGGAATAACACAATGCAATTCTATATTTGAAACAATTTAGTGGTTTCCTGATTTCCAAAACATTTTCAGATAAAACATCCCATTTCATTTCCTCCTCATAAAAAACATAACACTTTTGTAAAAAATGTAAGTGGAAACCAAGGCTCAAAGAAATCTGGGGTCTCACCAAGGTGGTTGGTCACAAGCCAATTTTTGGATTACTACTGGCAGCTCTGGCATTTACAAAAGTTTATAACTTCTTTATGTTTGATTTCAGATTCTTTTATTTGGAATACTGAATATGTTTAATTTTTGAGATGTCTGCTCCTTTAGACACAACCAACTCAATTCATGAAGATGCATCATGAGAAATATAACGTGAGAGAGATAAACATACCATGATTGCCAATCTCAAAGAGTCCCCAATCAAGTGAAGAAACAGATGTGTTTACGACTTACTCTAACACAAGGCAAAGTTCCATCAAGCCCCAATCAGTTGTTACAGGAACAGAGAGGAGGAAGGAATCTGCTGAGGAAGACATTTGGAGGAGGTGGTACCTGGGGAGGGCTTAGAGGACAGACAGGCATGAAACACGCGGAGGCATGACGAGTCTTCTAGGAAATGAAGAAGTGGAGGAAAATACCCATCTCCTAATTAATGATGGTGCCCAGTGTGGCTTTAAAGGAGAACATGTTCCGGGACGACTGCAGCAGGAAAAGGAGGGAAATGTGGGTGGGGCCAGCACATGGGGGCAAAGTGTAAAGTGACTTCACACAATAAGGTCACTTGACAGGGCTTCCCTAGGGAGAGCCCTTATTTACAAGGCAGTAGTGAATCATCCTGAAGCCATTGAATACGTTCTATAATTAAGGCAGAACAGGAGAATGCTATGATGGGAATGCGTTCCCTCCGAAATTCAGTCTTTCCAACGTGATGGTATTGAGAGGTGGGGCCTCTGAGAGACACGAGGCCATGAGGGCTCTGTGCTCATTAAGGGGATTAAGGCCCTTACAGAAGAGGCTTCTTGCAGCGTTCCTGGGTTAGCTTGCTCTTCCTCTCTCACTTGGCCCTCTGCTTTCTGCCATCTGCCGTCTGCCATCTGCCATGTGAGGACGCAGCAGGAAAGCCCTCAGCAGACCACAAATGCCAGCACCTTGATCTTGGACTTCCCAGCCTCCAGAACTGTGAGAAAATATACATCTATTCTTTATAAACTACCCAGTCGGTGGTATTCTGTTACAGCAGCATGACTGAAGACAGAAATTTATCTGACTTTTGTGAAGATAATATTAAAATGATAGAGTAAGTCCTTAGGAATGTAAAATCACAGAAGTTTTAATAAGTAAATCCTTAAGAACCTACAAACAGGACTGACACCACAGCACTTTGTTATAACTTCTTTATCTTTATAATTAAACACTTTGTGAGCCAAAGCAATATACTCGTAATACTTTGAAGAGATTTAAACAACTAATTTCTAAGTAATAAAGTGAACATCTGTATACTGGGCATTCAGATCACCTCTCCAGCTGTGATTATCTCATTCTGCACTACAGCAGGCTCCACTGATTGGCAGGGAACAAATGCAGTCAACAGCTCCAGTGCTCTTTACCCACGACCTCTGCCGGCCCGCTGACTTCGCTGCTAAACAGAGAAGTAAAAACGTCCCCTGAAAGCCACATCTTTGTCCCCTCATGCTGACTCCTGCTTCTACACACAACTCCTGTATGCTGAGGGTGTGCCAATAGCAGCCTCTTTGGTTTCTTGGGATCCAAGTGGAATCACCTCCTTTCTGGAATGTAGCCCCAACCTGAAAGTTTCTTGCCAAGGAACTTTGAGGCTGCCACCTGAGGACTGCCCCCCCAGCTTGAAATCCAGCCCTCCCACTCTCTGCCTGTGAGTGTGGGTAGGTTACTAACACACCCAGTCCCCACTGACTCACCTGTGAAATAGGGCCAAATGCACCCACCAGGTTAAGAACTATAACAACACTGTGCCTGCAATGTCACAAGTGCCCCCGATTGTAGTTGCCTCTTCCTCTTCTACATAAAAAAGCAAGAGAAAACAGTGTAGGGTCCAAGGGAACACTCGCCCTTCAACACCCTAAAGGTTCTCTGAAAAATCAATAAAAATATGAGGAAGATGCTTGAAAAATTTATTTTATTTTAATTGCAATAAAAATTCACTTAGTGGGAAAGGGAAAAGGACTAAAGGTCTCATACAAAATACGTAGTAAAGATGTACCTCTATTAGAGTGAATTTATTTTAATTTCTCTCTGCACACAACTGTTGAAATTAACATAACTAAAATGCTAAAGATCTGTGTGTAACTAAGTACAATGCAATTAGTTCACCATATTTTCTCATTATACCTAAAATAATCTATTTGTCAAATTCTGGGAAGAGATAAACAGCACAGGAAGCTTCCAGATAGTAGGATCCCCAAGAGAGCAACAATGTAAAAACCTGAATCAGAAGAAAACACTATCACTACCAACAAAAACATACAAAATAAGTTTCTGGAAAAAAAAAAAAAAGTTCTAATTAACAAGTAGCTCAACTAGGAGGGAAAAGGAAAATTAGGTCACAAGGTGAAGACAAACACAAACCATCTCATAAAGCTCTATATTTTAAAAGGACTTGAAGACAAATGACATTTATTGGAGTATCAAATATATGCCAACCCCACGTTTCGGTCATTTTCAAAGCATGCTCTGGAAACAGTGGATTTAAAGAATGGTGTAAAGTAAGTGATGCCTATCTAGCTGGGAAAAAAGGAGAATATTTATGAAAGTCATTAAGCCCATTCTTAACTATTAAGTAAAACAAACAAGATCATACAAGCTTAAAATGCTTATTTTATGCACTACAAAAAGTCCCCACAAGAAGTTAGCACATCAATGCTCTCAGACCACGTCACTTAGGCTAGCCAAAGAGTCAAACCGCACAGTCGCCAAGAAACAACCCTGAAAGCAGGGAGACAAACACAACCCCCCCCCCCCTACACACACACACGACAGGGTCCCAATGCGGCTTTCAGCAAATTTCTCAACAGAAACCTCACAGTCCAGGAAAGAATGGGATGCTGCAGTCAAAGCGGAGAACAAGAACAAACAAGAGACTTTCAAACCAAGAGTACCGGACCCAAACGAGTAGCCCTCTAGCATGGAGAGCAAACTCTTTCAAACACAAACGAGAGCTGAGAATTCATCAACACCAGACCACTCTTCAAAAGTTCTAACGAGAGCTCCTCCAAGTGAAAGAAGGCGCTACCTACGAACCTCCACCATAGCGGAGGTTAGAAAACTCACTGCTGCGCTAAAGACAAAAACGCAGTCAGCACACAGGACAGCCAGCGTCCTGAGAAAACCGCCCCCCGACCCCCGCCGCCCTGCACCTGCACTTGCACCCGCACTTGCCCCTGCACTCGCACTTGCACCCGCACTCGCACTTGCACCCGCACTTGCACGCTTGCAGCCTGCTCACCGCGCCCCTGGCCCCGGGACCCCGAGGCCCCGGCCCGGCCGCACCCGCTTCTCCGGCCTGGTCCCCGCAGCGCACGGCTCCGCTCCGCCCCGCACCTGGGAGAAGACGAGCCGGGTGCGGCTCCTCGGGAGCGGAGGGCGCCCCAGTCTCCTGGCTCTGCCACGCCGGGCACCCCCGCCCGCCCGCCGTCCTCGGTCCTCC